GTACCACTTATAAATGTTTTTTTGTGCCATAGTTTGATCACCAAAGGCCTTCCGCAACATTTTCAACGTGTCCGCACAAGAATATTCGTTCCGCAAACAAAATTTGATGCAAGTTCTTTGCTCAACAAAATCACCCATTGTAAAAATCGAAAAATTCACTTTTGGTCGTTTACTAAAACGCGTGTAACTCGGAGATAATTAAACCTTTTAACAAACAGACGCTTGGCAATTGTTATAGACAGTCCTACCAACCTAGGAAAAAAACAATTGCCTGCCTTCCTAATGTCCGGGAGTTTTAAATGACAATTTCACCTTACTTTTTGATCACGGTAGTATATTTCACGAAAATCATTGGATATATTGAAGAGATTCCAGTTACATTCAGCAACATGTTCGACAAAAATCGAAATTTTAATAACATAAGACACACGGTAACATGAGTAATTTTACTTGAAATGGACATTGAAAATATTACTTGGTTGATAAATGATGATCATTTTAGAACAAACTTAAAAGACAGTGTTTCTAGACAGGACAAAAATAAGACTGTTTTTTGACAATTTCTTCTATAAAATCGGTAAATAGTTTACGATGGATCTTTTTGTTTCTAAAAGATTCGATTATCAAACAATTCTCAAACTTCTACATTGGAAAATGTTGCTAATTACAAAAACGTGATTATTGCAATTATCTCTGCAGTAATCGTTCCCAGACGTTGTTTATTTATAGCAATTGCCTTTATTTCTGCTATCCGTTCTTCATTTGTTATTCCAACTGTAGGTTTAATGCACTTCAATTTAGTTCACTATTCTGGCCCAGGTTTACAAATAGCCTTTGGCTACACTTCGCCGTTGTGTAAATTATACATACACCGTATTTGTATCGTCCTTGTATGTGCAGCTTTCGTGTGATACAGAAGACGTATGGACAGTAGTAATTAGAAAAGAAGAATGCGATTTGGGCCTGAAAGCCGCCCAGTTTTTGAAGATAATTGTACTAAAAGTCTTCTTGTGGATACGATTTCAGCGAACTTTTGGCTTTTTATTTTTCAAACGTGCCGTCGAATCGTGCATATCGGTATAATGTTTCTTAACCCTTTGCACTCGAATGGCGACTCTGCGGCGCCACTAGAAATTGGTATACTATTTTTCAAAATCATTCTAAAAGCATCAAACTCGTTTATATTTAAAAAAAGCTATTAAAATTCCATTGTACTTGCCAATAGGCTCAAATTCATATGCACAAATCGCAATAAATTATATAAAATAGAAATACTGTAGATCAGAAATCATGCTTTGAATTTCGAATTCAAATAGCTTCGACTGCAAAGGGTTAAATGATTGTGGAGCTATGGGAGTCCGTATCTTTATGTGTTTGGCGCTACAGTAGAACGACAATTATGAAAACTAATTGGGATCGAGGTGATTGGGAAGATCAAATAATTTGCGTGATAAAGCATGCATGTGCTTACCCGGTTTATAACGATAAGAATTATGCTTAAACTTATTTAAAAAATGAGTACTACTGCTGTAATCTCAAATGTGACTAATATATTATTCAAAAAATACGTATGCACATACATGCTGCGCATATGCAATTCATAGTAATTATACATATATGTACATAAAAAAGTTTCGTTAATATTAATTGTATATATAGCAATGTCGAAACACTGATTCGGATAATCGACGCCTCAGTGTCGAAGAAGTGTCGAATTAATTTATGCCATAATTAACTATTTACACTGTAATTTATAATGATAATAGTTATAAAAGCGATGAGATTCAACAATCTTTTTAGACAATTACAATTTACATGATAATTACGGATATACTGAATAATCAGCATCATAATAATTACCCCGCTGTAACAAATATCTTTTTCCTTATACATTGTCTGCGCATTATTTTGCATCGTTAAAAACAAAGGAGGCATTCCGCGTGGAAATGTTAGGCGACTCGCGCTCTGTATAGTGACTAATTAAAATTAAATGGTTCTTTGACCTACAATTTTTCATAATTAAACTGCAGCGCCAACGGGTTAAGGAACTATAATGAAGGCAATAATGAATTCCAGGCAGCAAAAACGGCGAAACAACACGGTAATAAAATGATGAACGCAATTTCCGTTGAAACATAGTTTCGCAAACAAGCTAGACCATTCCAGTAGATCCACTAGCGCCGCGATATTAAATCATCGGACGCGAATTTCGTCGTAGCGGGCGAGGGATCGATCACACAATCATCCCGATTGTTAGTGACGCGATGACAGACTGCTAGCCTGTTATCACCATTCGCGCAGTTCCCATCGAACGCCAAACACCCTTTATCTCCGAACAACCGTCAACTATCAACGAGAACTTCTGCCTTTCAGTTTAGGATGAATTTCAAGATCACCTTGTTCCCGTCCACGACGATCTTCGCCCAAGCAGCCGGCTTCAAGGTAGTTTGGGAGCTTCCGACCGAGACCGGTCGTCCCGGCATCGGTCGTCCCGGCAGGTCGGTCTCGGACGTTCACGAGGCGGCCGAGCTCGTTTACGAAAGGTAATAAATAGTTTAATATGGTCGGTGAATAATGCAGTGGCTGGCCAACCGTCCGTGGCAGCCGGCATGGAAGTTGCGGAGCCTGGAAATTGCCGCAAGCTGCTCAGCCGAGGCAGGAAAGGTTCACAAAAAGATCTGGATTTCTGGCCCGGACGGTTTCCGGCCTCGTCTACGAATTGGCCAATGGCGCAGTGCCGTCCGCTTCCGCAGTCAACCTCTGCACTCTCCCAAGGAGAAACGCCGGAGTTGGAAATCGCTTTTTGGAAAAGGCATCTAAATCTTGTAGTATGTACCGAGCATTGAAAAACCTGGACAGATTTTTCCAAAACAGGACCGCCGCTTCTTGAGAGAAATCAATTTATCATATTGCTCTGTGGCGAAGAGTTGAGGCCACAATAGCAGCTCAAAGATAAAGCATTTCTTTAACTAAAAGAAATAACTAAAGAACCCACAAAATCCAAAACTTCTGAAACTTGTTATTAAGTTATGCAATCGTATTTAGTTTGTGCTGATACGTCGTTTCGAAGGGATGAAAACAACCCTTGAAAAAGTGTAAATATTTTCTTTTTCGTAAAATATCCGAAGAACGGTAAATAACGTTAACAAAAATTCTGTAAAAGAGTATTTAAAAACTTTAATTTCAATTTAAAAATATACTTCTACGCAGCTTCGTAGATACAGTAAAATGATGAGATTTTTGCATAAATTCTTTTTCGTTACGATTGTATTAGGCATAACATACTGCAAAGTTCCATAATTCTTGAATTTTACGGCTTCACAAACGCCATTTGTAAAATGTTCTTATACTTTTCTGCAAAATTTGTGTTCTTTCTTCCTTTAAAATAACGCCACCGCAGCAGTTCGCGTGCAGTACAGTGGCCCACAAAAGTGTTCGTACACCTTTTAAAGCGCGATAACTTTTTCAAAACTGAACCAAATGACTTGAACTTTTGTTAATGATAAAAGGAATAGACTACTAGACGTTGGCTAGAAAACCTTTTTTTTAATTTTACTATTTCTTGGAATGAAAAAGAAAAGTTAAAAACCCTCGTTTTTTAACTTTTTCATCCGAGCATGTAACGAAAATTTAAAAAATGCCTTTTGTCGATCTCGATAATTTACACGCGTGCTGAAAATTTAATCGAAATCGGTTAACCCAGAGTCGAGCTACATTTCTAAAAAAAATTCAAGTCATTTAGTTCACTTTCGAAAAAGTTATTGCGTTTTAAAAGGTATATGAACACTTTTGTGTTGATACACTGTATGTTTTTTTTGTGGGACTTGCGGCATAAACGAAGGCCGATTTTGAAAGATTAAGATTTGCCAGTATTGAATACGTAATACAAGATTTACTTTCTCTTTTCAAAAAAAAAAGATTTCCAACTACGACGGTTCTCGTTTTCGGTTGAGCTCAGCTCTGTCCCATTTTTCGTTTACTCGCAAGCGGTTACTCCGTTTCGCTTGGCCAGGTGCGCATCCGATGGATCCTTTCGGTCCCTCCGACGAGCCCTTTTGGTCCCTGCGAGCGGATCCCAGGCGCCGCCGATGAATCTCTCCTGTGGTTACTTCGCGCGACTTTGTTTGCTGAATAAAATATCACTTTGGCGAGTCCTGCAACTGAACCGACGCGACGGTTTCACGCGACCAACCGTTTCCCGTTTCAGCCACGGATTCGACGGAAGGTCCTGCTTGCTGAAGAACGTCTGTCAGGCTATGGAATATGCGAGCCAGAGAGACGGGGTCATGGCGAAGATATTGAAGCTGCTCGTCGGGTAAGCGTTTTGAGCTCTGTGTCGTAAGTCGTAAGTAGACTGCGAAAGTATGTATGTAATATGCAAAAGATGTAGGCAGGTTTGCATGAGATGTAGGCGATTCGTGAAGAACGTTCAACGCGCGTCTGTTGCAGTCATTGTTATCTGAACTGATCTGCGGTTGCAGAGAAAGACATGGCATGTCAAATTTATCACGTGCGTTCTCTCTTTCGAGATACAGTAGAACCTCGGTTATCCGAACTGTTTTTGAGTACATAAACGTTCGGATAATGCTATAGTTACTAAGATACATATGGAATAAAATGCATACATATTTCACAGAAGAACGTCCGAAAATGGTGTACATCGTGAAGAAACGTAGATACGTCATAGAATATAAATAAGCTGCATAGAGTACGCTCACTTGGAAGTTAAATGCATTGCATTATCTTGATGAAACATGTGAATATTCTGTGAATATTGTGTTACTGTCCGGTAATAGGGGACATTGAAAAATATTTTTCTGGAAAGCAGTCCATTGTATACGAAAAACAAACGAGAAAGTACTTGCCAGAATTTACGATAATGCTACTCAAATGTCTTCTATTGATAACGGTTCGAGAAATATTGCACTCTTTATTTTTCACTATGCTCTCATTTCAATTCGTACGCCAATTCGATCGACTGATTTTGCTACCTACAGAGAGGCGATAGAAGTGAGCGACTGCTGTATTCAGTTTGCATTATCATCTCCTATATTTCGACGGTTGGAACAACTTCATCGCATTTCTGTTTCTTTTGTCTCAATACAGCTAATGTCTGATAACAGGTGCTGCCCGTTATTATTGCCGTCCAATATTGAAATATTATAGTTCATTGATCCAGTTCCTCGCAAACGCCGTTAAATCGGTGGTCCATTCCATGAAAATTTCATATAATTCTGACCGAATTCTGACCGAATAGTTAACGTAATTCATTGTCGTTAATTTTGGAAGATTGAAATAGCTTAATGAAACGTTCATTTACTGCAGCTCCAATATATGGAGCAGGGATTTTGTTTCCAAGACAAAGAGAGATTATGAAAGGCGCCAACCTTGCCATTGTTTGTGTTGGTTCCCAAGAGACACGGTGTCATCTTAGTGATGTGTCATCATTTCTTATTCCGTAGAATCTGCATCTTCGCGTAATAAAATATGTTAACCCTTTGCACTCGAAGCCATTTTAATCTAAAGTAACATTAATCTAAACTTTATCTAGACTTTAATCTAAAATAATTTTTCTGACTTATAGTATTTCCATTTTATACGACAAAGTGCATTTTATGCATACGAAATACACTTTAAACAATTTTTTAAATATAAATTTTGTTAATGTAAATGTTATTTTGGAACACGATGTAACAATTTTAGCGGTGCCTCGGAGTCACCACTCGAGTGCAAAGGGTTAAGCAGGTTGTGAGAGTTAAGACAATATACATAAACTGACTCATGAGACTAGTTATATGCAGGGACCCAAAATAACAGTTATTTGACAGAGAGTATAGTCAGATAAGATGATCAACTTGCCCCCGAAACATATTTAGTAGACTATGTATGAAATTCCGACTGGTTCTTGTAGTGCAAGGTTCTTGTATGCAAGTAAATTCTCCCTAATTGGTGCTCAGATTGTACAAATTGGACAATTTGGGAAGAAGAGATACGATTATTCGAGCCCTGCGGCTCGCTTTTATAGTTGTTGACAATCGGTGAATTGTCCATTTTTATGCACAATCGGAGCGTCAGTTAGGAAGAATTTACTGTAGCTTGAAATCTAATTTGGCCAACACTAAACTCACCGAACCGATTGAAATATCGATTCACATTTCTTTTATTTCAGAAATGCTGCGATTATAAAAACTCTTGCGCAGGAAATGTTTGAATCAACATCTTAATTCAAGCACACGTTACAATAAAAATGAAGAAACGGCCAAATTATACATTCAAACTGGTCATCGTTCTGATGCAACACACTTACTAACATACGTTTCACGCTTTTCTTGTCGAACTTATTGTAGCTTGGGCAACTGCAATCTAGACTGCAGCTTTGAGACTGATTACCTCTGAATACATGCATTTCAATACACGCTCGAACAAACCGCATGCCGCAACGAACAAGGTCTTAGAAGCAATTAGAACGTTCTAGCATAGATCACAGCACGCAGAAAGCGAGAGAGACCATAAGTAGGATCGAATACGAGAGAATTTGTTCTCCCACATTTAATTATCTTACGAGTTGCTTGTTTACATTTCTGCGTCGCGTAATGCACAGAAAGCAGCTTATTTGCTCGTTAACGATATCACAATTTCGCTGACCGTTTCTGATTTGCAGATCGTACGCAAACAACGATGCCGCGACGGAAGACGAAGAACCGATTCTCTGCGACATCCACGTCAGAAATTGTCCTCTAGAGCTAATCGGAATAGATAGCTTTATCGAGCAATGAACTGTGCCGATTTAACGACTCGGAACGAAGACTGAACACCGGGAGAATTATGCAAAGAAATCAAAATAACGTGACCCTAATTGAATCCACGATTTGCGACGGCGTGGTGAAACTATGGCTGCTCCAGTTTTCACGGTGAAGATCTTTCGATGGAGGACAGCGTCGTTAGTGACGTCCGTTTCCCGGTGTAAGGGCCGTGGGACACGAACACATAAATTTCCAATGTAATTGTTCACCTAACCGTGAACACCGAAGTGTTATCGGTAGATTGCGAACTTTTGTGCAAAATAAACATTGCACGCGGCAATCACATTGTTGGGATCACATTGAAATGTGTTTGCTTCTTCTATCAGTATCATCAAATGCACTGCGAATTTATATATATTTATATAAATTAAATAGGGCCAAGAAAACAACAAGTTTTAGCAACGTTGAATTTCGATAAAATATTAATTTTTATTTACCAGCAATGATCATCTAAAGCTTGGTTGCAGTACTTAGATCTTGAAACCAAGGATTCGCATAGGAATTCACCGTTTTAAGATAATCAGAGGACTTTCATTGACTTACAACGCTTAGAAATCTTCAAGAACTTGTAAAACGCAATCTGAAACTGAATGTCACTGAACGCTGATTAAATTAGTTTGGAACTTTATACACGGTTTTATCATACTTCCTTCATTTTATTTAGCACTCGAACTAATGGACCATTTGTAATATTATCTATCAATTTTATCGACGTTTTTATAAATTTCAATGAAACGTATGAAAATTGAAATTAATTATTGGAAGCTAGATGATCGAATAATATTGAAGCTTCATCGGTGCTATTTTAATTAAAATTTTTAAATATTAATTAAAACACAGTTTTTTTGTTTAAAATTGCTCCATCGAGAGCTGATATTTGTTCTTCAGTTTGCCCAGTACCAAAAATTCCCATTTGGATATCACCGTTTGATCCGCAGTCATCGAATATTTTTCAATGAAACAATGACTATACAAACACGAATGAATGAGAATGAAAATTCTGAACACGCGTAAAGTTTCACGGTTCGGTAATTAGACTAAAACAGGCACGAGCAAAAAGCTGTTCGCCGCGGGGCGTTGTGGATTACCCGGAAGGTACCGCTTCGGAGCAAGTGACGTCAGACCACTAAAGAAGGCCGAAGCGCACTCTGTCTTACGAGATTAGCATTGACGGCGACAGGAGACTGTCTGCCTTGTTCCCTCTCCTTCGCCGCATAGATTTCTGGGCGTGGCTTGGTTGCTCTGAATTTCGAGGGGGCCAGACCCCGTGCCCCATAGGGCAATCTGTGCCCACATCCCACATCCCACAGGCCGCAGCTACCGTAGAATGACCACGGTAGGGTGGACAGCTGGTATGACCAAAATGCTAGCAGTCGCGCTTGCGCTCGCACGTTATCCGCCGGATTTTCCAGCGACGCCGACGACACCCTGGTCACATTCCACGACAGAACGATTATAATTGCATCCACGGCGGCAACGCGTTAACGAAAAGCATTAATTTAGAATGTTCCGTGGTTTTCTTGCCAGACAGCGTGCAGGTGGGGACAGCGGGAGCGTTCGCGTGCAACTCCCATATGCAATTAACAGACGCTCGTTCCGCCGCTATGGGCTGCGAAATGAGGAAATAAGTGTCGTCCCGGTGAAAAAGAGCTCCGTACCGCTGTTCCTCTTTCTCTGTCTTTTCCCGCGGCTTTTTTCACGCCGCCTCTATCCCTCGTCCGATTTTTCCCGGAACGGTTACATTCTGCCGGCGAAGACAGTATGAATTAATATAAGCGCGCATTTAAATGTACAATGAGGCAGGGCTGCCGCGCGCACGTTACGTTTGTCCGGTACGGTTTTGCCTGTTGCCCCCGCTCATCTCGCGGACGTTCATTTATTTTGCAGTTTCATTCGTGACCCGTATTCTCGGCCGCCGCGACCTTCCGAGGACCGAGATTCCCGGGAAGAGTTAGATCAAGCTGTCCCGACGGGCAACGATTAAAGGATACCGTCCATTTTCGCTGCACAGTTACTTTTCGGCTGGAATCAAGCTAATCGCGCGTTCTCGTTCTTCTAACTCGATTCTCCAAATTCGATCTCGATTCATAAATTTGATACTATGTCAACGGGCATCGTAGCGGATAGATAAATACAATCATTTGTCCCGGAAATGCCAAATTTCGGATTGCTATGAATTTCCCTGCGCTAGTCCTACGCCTACGTCATTTATTGCTACATCGATGTTAAGGGTACTCGGAATCAAGTAAGAAAAACCATGGATCGACAAGGATCTATAAGCATGCACATAATTGTTTAAAAACTGAAAATGTGGGTCTCAATGTATTATAATAGTTGAAGAATTAGTTGGATAACAGATGAAATACGTGATATAGTCTACATGTTCGGTATTTGTTCGTAACTTCTTTGACGTCTGTAGAATGAATTCTTTCATGTGGTACATACAGTAATTTTTCCTAGAAATGTCAAATTTCGGGTTGCTGTGAATTTGCATGTACTAGTCCTACGTAATTTATTGCTACGTCGATGCTAAGGGTCGACGGAGTCGGTCAAGCGTGTGATGCGGCACGCGCCGCGAATGCCCGGAAGGCAATACAAAATGGTCTGTTTGGGTGTGAGTCAGGTAAAAAAAACCGCGGAGCTACAAGATACGTGATAAGTATTAGGTACGTGACCGTCGAATCGTGGCACGTGTTCTCCGAATTTCCTTCGAATCGTGGCAAAAAATTAGAAATAAAAAAAGTTAAGTCGTCGTTTTTATTCTAGCATTACTATGTATTCATACTAATGTACACCGGCATGCTGGCCTCTGTCTTTTTTGCCCACTGCGCCGAGTTTCTATAAAAACGAGACGCGAAGGATCACGACTTAGTATTCTCAGATCTGCCGGATTCAATTCCGACCTCCGAATATTTCTAGGAGAAATTACTATACATAAATGAGATCCTGAAGGAGATGACCGAGATGTGGTAACCTCTAATCGCACATCTACATTTTTCCAACACGAATTATCAACCAGCATCACCGTTAGATCTGGGGGCAGCGAAATGACATTATTCGAAATACAGTAATTTCTTCACTAGTGTCACAATTTTGCTGTGCCATGAGTGTCGCAGTGCTATTGCTACGCCTATGTGATTTATTGATTTTCTCGCTAGTCGATGCAAAGGTTCGTCGGAGTCAGTCAAGCGTGTGATGCGACATGCGCCACGGCTCCTTTGACTCAAATTCCCGGAGGACAACACAAAATGGCCTGTTTTGGTGTGAGTCAGATAAGAAAAATCGCGGAGCTACAAGACACGTGGTAGGTACAGTAATTTCTCCGAGAAATGTTCGAAGGTCGGAATTGAAACCTGCAGATCTCAGAAAAACTAGGCCGCGATTCTTCGAGCCTTGTGGCTCGTTTTTATAGAAACTCCAGGCAGTCGGCAAAAAAAGTCAGCGGCCAGCATGCTCTGGTGTGACGATGGCTTAACTTTTTTGTTTCTAATTTAATACGCAGGCAATTCGGAGGTCAATCATAGACGTGGGACTAGCGCAGGGAAATTCGCAGCAACCTGAAATTTCGCATGTCCGGGAGAAATTACTGTACTAGGTACGTGACCATCGAATCGTGACATGTGGTCTCCGAATCGATTTCAAATCGTGGCAAAAAATTAAGAATGAAAAAGTTAAAACATCGTTTTTATTCTAGCATTATAATGTACATATTCATAGTAATGTATAATATTTTTGTTCGACCTGAGTTTCGTACTCTCTCTCTCTCTCTCTCTCTCTCTCTCTCTCTCTCTCTCCCTCTCCCTCTCACTCTCTTTCTCGCTCTCTTTCGCTCTTTCACGCTCTCTCTTACTCTCTCTCGCACTCTCTCGCTCTCACTCGCTTTCTTTCGGTCTTTCGCATTCTCTCGCACTCTCTCGCTCTCTTCCGCTCTTTCGTGCTCTTTCGCTCTCTCACTCTCACTCGCTCTCTCTCTCTCTCTCTCGCTGTCTCTCTTGCTTCCTTTCTTGCTCTCTTTCGCTCTCTCTCGCTCTCTCTCGTTCTCTCTCGTTCTCTCTCGCTCTCTCTCACTCTCTCTCGCTCTATCTCGCTCTCTCTCGCTCTCTCTCGCTCTCTCTCACTCTCTCTCGCTCTATCTCGCTCTCTCTCGCTCTTTCTCGCTCTCTCTCACTCTCTCTCGCTCTATCTCGCTCTCTCTCGCTCTCTCTCGCTCTCTCTCGCCCTATCTCGCTCTCTCTCACTCTCTCTCACTCTATCTCGCTCTTTCTCGCTGTCTCACGAGTTGTCGGCGACTATAAAGGCGATTTGCGATGCTCGAAGAATCATATTTTGTAATCCCGTGAAATACACTTTCAATTCCGACTCCGCGACACTTCCTCGTGGAGAAATTACTGTACTATTATTTAAATATTATAATATGTAAATATTTAAATAATTTAATTTAATTTAAATAATTTCTTTAATTTAATATTTAAATATTTTTAAATATTTAAATATCATAAATTATTTAACGAAACAAAAATAAATAATATATTGTCTGAGGATATTTCATACCTGTATCAGAGTCATCATTTCGGAATTAAACAGCTCATTGTTTGAACAATCTTAGAACCATCTTGAACCTCAAACCTTATTTTAAATCAATTCGATAAACATGAGCCGTCATCTCGTCAACTTAAATATATCCGCAGAAGGTAACCAACAATTAATAATTTAAAAACACGATGACATTCTACTAACGTCGTTCGCATGAAGCACTGGTTACTTGGACAGCAGGCTAAAAAAACCCTACTAATAATTGAGAAAGTTCATGTCATGCAAGCATCGAACGGGAGATGTGCCGTTAATTAGACAGCAGTCTGAAAACCCAGAATCGTCTAAAACACGATTGGCTGGAATTGATTAAAGAAAGTGTCGTTCGTTTAAGAACGATGTTGTTATCCATACTCCTCTTCTCGCGATCGCACGATGAGCCGTAATCTCCGTGAAAAATTAATGCCATCAGACATGTACATATCCAAGGCAGTCGATCTAGAATGTCCGCCGTCGGAAAGGGGGACAAAGAGTCTAGTCGGTGGCCAATTTTTCTGTCTCGCGATTAAATAGTTTATCGCTTGGCCAATCCCTTCTTCGCTAAATTGTTAAATGCTGCGGTGAAGCGTCGTGGAGCGTGGCGGAGCGCGGCCCATGCAAACACACAAAATACGTCAGAGCGGTTCTTGGCTAATCATCAAAGTAGGCGTCCGTTCTGCCGATCCGGGACAACTGGCTGCTCGGACAATCGTTGCAGCATTCAGAATCATTTCTACGAAAAAGTTCATCGATTTTAGGCCGTTAGGGCTCGTTTCCAAGAAAGAGGCAGTACCTATGCAAATCACTGGTACAGCCTTCCGATTTCGCAGACTTCGTGCCGTCCGCCAGAAGCCCTAAACTCTCCGATGATCCTGTTAATTCGTCGTCCCGATCGAGGAGTCCCCAGCTTGCTCGAAAAAAAATATTCCATGGCGACCGGTATGTGCTACGATTGACACGGTTTTTTAACACTTTGACTGCCGCGCCGCACAGTGGTCCCGATTGAGAAATTTAGCGACAAGTTGTTTTTAACTCTTGAACCATTAAAAATATTGCAATGAAATTTACAATAAAAATATTTAGATAATAGTCGCTTTTAACTATGGATAATTAAATATTTTTTGAATTTATTATACAATAATTTCTAATTAATCTTCATTGATATTTTTGATTGGAAACAAGACTGTTTAAATACGATTTTACAAACAATATTTTACATTCTGAATATGGATTTTATACTTGTATTTCGTGCTCGTAAGGTTTCATAGAAGACGTAAGATATAAATTCGAGGCAGCTTCTTGTAATCAACGCAGTTGACAAAATTACCGAAGATGTAAGAACACGTCGCAAGCGCGTCAAGAGATATTTCTTATAATAATTTGTAATAAATACAATTTTTTTAATGTTCCAACTTTCTGTTTTCTATTCACGGTTGTTACTTAACTTTTGAGTTCGCCCCTTTCTCTATTTGTACGACTGTTACTAAGCAACAGATTGAAAAATATGGTTGCCGCCATTGGTAACGATGGGAAATAGAAACGCATTCATTCAATTGCCACAATAAATAATACATTTTTACGCTGTACGTGTGATTTGTCGAAACAAAAGCGTCGTGTTCTATGAAATAACATGTATTATATGTAGAAACAAAGGGCACATCCATGCGAAATTCAGAAAACAGCGGTACAGGAGAAATACCATCGCGTTTAATCAAGCCTCGTTAAATGTATTCTCCGACCCTTGACATGATATTTTGGCTCGTAAAATCGGCCGGGCGATGATGTAATCACGTTCGAGCGTCGAAATAATGGACTTTTACAAAGAAATCTTGCACACAAGTCAAATTCAATTCAGAGTCCATTGTTCCGGCTACCGAACATGATTACTTTATGGCCCGGCCGATTTTACGATCTCAAAATATCGCATCCCACTGCCGTTTTTGTTGTTAATATACGGCGCACCTTACAAATTCGCGATCTAATTTACGAGCTGTACGTTATGTCCCTAATAAAACCGTCCCAAAAGATAATCCAATAATTATAACAGTACATTCCGTAATTAACGCTTTATCGACCGGCAGTTTTCTAATACTCCTTTGAAGGTCGAAGAACAGCCCGGAATTTCTTAACAAATTGTCGAAAAGCAATAACAATTTCGGTTACAATCCTACAGACTATTTGGTTTAATATAATGTGCAACGTCCTTTCAAACAACTATTTAAAAATTGTACAATACAATTTTAATTACTATCCTTTAGTTCCCAAAATACTAATCCACATTTTCTATTATATTTTATATATTTTTGGATTTTATATAACATATACTTTTGCTATATGTTTAAAACATATTTCTCAAATTTTTGTTTACATAAATATAACAGTTTCTAATTCATAGAAATAAAGATTTTATACCTTCACGTGGTTTCAAACATGTGTTCCGTTTAATCTTGATCGAAAAAAAATCCTATTTTGCCTCGTAGCCACGTACTTTATCTAATAAACTGTTTCACACTTTCGTACAATCAAAGGTTTATTTGTGACAGCTATCGATGACCTGTATGCTTTCGTCTTCTGATTTTTTGCTATTACTCTCCAAAATTAGATGTTTCGTTTGACTGCGCGCATAGCCGATTCCTGTGACATTCGGTGGTTGAACAGGCATCGGCTAATTCACGAATCCCTATTCCCATGGCACCGAGTCATCGAATAGTCATTGGCTACTCCGCAACGTCCGTAAAACCAAATAAGCTTTCGGTCTCGCACAACTGTCTTAGCCATCAACTCGTAACAACGCGAACGCGCGGGACCTCCAGGATCGACGACTGTTTTGTTTGTCGAAGTAATTATCGAGATCATCGTCTGGCTGACAATTAGAGCCGCGGAACAACGCGACCACGCCGTTCCCGTTACCTCAGGCCCCCAAACTATTCCACGTTCATCGCGTGGGCCCCGAAGGTTTAGTGCGTGACACATTCCAGCGGTGTTCGAATCACTCTTGATTCGCGATATTCCGATCCGTTCATCGTATATCCGGCAACGAAATCAATCGCATCCGGAGACAGTTCGGACCGGAACGGTTTCTCCGCCGAGGTGTTCAGGGTCGTGAAACAGACACAGGTGTACGTATGAGATAGGAAAAGTCCCTAAGCCGCGGCGAAGGGATGCCAGACGTTCGACTTCTGTCCCTCGTTCTCGCGTGCTTCGATTTCCTGATGATCTACGCGACCGAGAATCCGATCGACACGCCGAGGACGCTCTCACGACAGAAGAGGTACTTGATTTTCCCGGAGGGCAGCAACCTGCAGGTAAAAGCTATACACGATACATCGCCTCGTTCCTTTTCTCCAATTATTTTCCTGTCCCCGTTTTCCTTTTTCATTAAGTCTCCGCCCGATGGTTTCATTCGCAACTGTGCTCATCAGAGCCGCTTTTATTTCCTTGGAAAAGAAACTTTACGTTCATTGTTAACACGTTCACTGCTGCGCCGGTGTCCATAAAAGGCACAAAATCGGAACATCTCGTTTAGTACGGTGACTTGCGAACACAGTAGGCTTCGTAACGCGCGTAATATAACACGTTATGCGTTCTACGAAATCGGGTTATTAAGAATTCGTGTCACGCGGAAATTTTCCTCTTGTAACAGGGATAGTAAATTCAATGGAACAAATCATTTAACAAATTCATTGGGTACACACATCCGTCCACAAGTTACCGGCGACTTACAGTCGCCTCGGAATGTACGTTAAGCCTTCCAAATCGGAATAACTTTTTTAAAAGTGGTTCAAACGATTGGTTAGACCGACCAGTTTTCTTTGAAATGAGTATACAAAAAGTTTTTCAGATTACAATGCATTGGAAGGATAACAAAATAGAAACGTTATGTTTTTTTCAACTTTTTTATGCGAGCTCATAACGAAAATTCAAAAAATGCACTGTGTAGATCTCATTTCATCGAAATCGGTCGACGCATGGTCAAGCTACAGCCACTGAAAGATGTAAAGATTACCTGATTTTGCTTGAAATTCGTGAACTGCGATTTTAGCGAACTTTAATCGCTTACAGCTCAAGGTCAACCGATTTCGATGAAATTTTCAGCATGCATATAAGTTACCGAGATCTACGAAATGCGCTTTTCAAATTTTCATTATAGGCTCACGTAAAAAAGTTGAAAAAAATATAATTTAACAAACTTTTTATATACTCATTCCATAGAAAACTAGTCGGTCTAATGTCTCATAAAAATCCCAGTCTTTTGCATCAATCTTTAAAAGTTACTTCAATTGAAAAGGCGTTAACGTACTTTCCGAGGCGACTGTACATATTTGCGAATATCGTTCAAATATCTTACAACTATAGTTCATTTTACGAATTAATTCTTGGATTAATTGCTTTAATTGCCTTGCTATGCCTTTCATTTGTTTTCGGGCGTGATTCTCTTTATATTTATCGAATAAAAATGATTAAATTTTTATGTTAAAAAATGAACAAAATAAAAGGATGAGAAACTTAATATTTCTTATTCGATAAATATAAAGTGAATTATGCTCGAAAACAAACCAAAGGTACAGCGATTGATCACCCCACAGTAAGTGGCTCCACTATGTAAAAGCGAACCTCAAGTTATGGGCTATATGAGAAATTGAACCTATCGTATAAATAATTCATTGATTATGGTAACATTGGGTCGTTCGGAAAGTTGTTTCGTTCTTCCAAGTGAGAATGAAAGACGATTTTTTTTAATGTTTAGAGTAAAAGACATTGCTCTGATAGCTTTGAAATCTTATGCTCGTCACAGTCCTGTTTCTTTATTGACCAAAAATTGAATCAAGTGCTTTTTACATCCTTAAAAAATGAAACTTTCTTTGAAAAACGAAACAACTTACCGAACGATAATCATTTGAGTCGAAGAGCCACATTTGCAAATTTCTGGACAATTTTGACAGTAATTATTACGTTGGAGAGAAAAATGATAATTAACCCTTTGCACTCGAAGCCATTTTAACTGTAAATCTAAAATAATTTTCTTGAATAATAGTACTTCGATTTTACACGACAAAGTGCGTTTTAGGCTTACAAAATCGAATTTCATGATTCACACAAAACAGTTACACTCTCAGTAACATTTAAAATCCGAACTTCGATAATATAAAAATTATCCTAGAATGTAATATAATAATTTCGGTGGTGCCTCAGAGTCGCCAATCGACTGCAAAGGGTTAATACTTTCGAATTTTTAATGATTTCCAATAGTTTCAATCAGCTCGTTTGTAATATCGAAACGAACAAAGCGACATTTGTCGCTTACGTATCAGACAGTAATAAATCAAATTACGCAACTATCTTCAATATGCTAAATTACAATTTTATTAATTTTGTCAGATTCATAACGCCACTGCGCGACGCGCGATGTGCGCGCTGCACTTAATAAAACGAGCGATGCATGTTAATTGAACAGACTTATTGCTTCCGCGTCTCAGTTTCGCGATTAATTCGGCGATCGGGCACGACGACAGCCCATCATTGTTCGCCGGCGATAGCTCGGAACAAAATGAAATGTACATTTTATTCGATACGATTGATCGAACAAGAATGTATCGAGCGTTTTCTGTCCGTACCAGCTGGTGTTTTGCCTGACGGTTGGAACGTACGCCAGAGAGAATGACGTGGTGATGGGCATGACGGCCGCTTTGGCCTGGGAGCTGCCGAGCAAAGTCGACAACAAAATATCGGAATTGCTTCATCGCAGGAGCAGGAGCATCCTGTACCCGAAAATAGAAGCTCTCCTGCAATCGTAAGTGAATCAGTTCCCCGTAAATGCTCGACCGCAATCTTACCCTGTCGTCACGTCGCGTCACGTCGCTTCACGAAACAATCGCGATGTTTTCCTCGAGACGCTACAGTGTCTCGTAAAATTGCCTAAAATCGATGTTAAGAAATAGAAGCCACATAGAAATTTCGTTGCGTCCGTAACACTCTAGCCGTATCTCACTCGTAAGTAGGTGATAGAATTATTTAATCGGATATGAAAATTAATTTTTACGCTAATTTATTACATCTTCCTAATTTTATTGGGATCCATAAAACGTACTCACGTTGACAAAGTAATTGTACAACTGAACTTTTCAATTTTAGTTCAATTCAACGAAATACATTAATTTGATTATGTTTTCGAGGTTGCTAGCGGGGCGGTCAAGGTATTAATAATTCCGATGAAATCAATGTAATATCTTAAACTTTTTAAGTCTACTCAGTATTGCAAAATACATCTTCCTACTTTTGTCACATGTGTATAAAGATAAATAATTCTTTCATTTATTTGTACTATACTATGCATTTTGATGTAAATTTCATTGCATTTGCGTCGGTTGCAACGAATGCGGACATCTAAAATAGAATAACTTTTTTAAAATTGGGCCCAACTGTTTGAATTTTTTTGGATGATAGAAAGGCTGGTTCGCGCAACTGCGCGTACAAAAATCTTTGCGAAAATTACAATTTGGTGGAACGATAAACAAAAATTAAAATATTACGCATACCAACTTTTTTATTTGAGCATACAACAAAAATTTAAAGAATGCATTTTTTAGAACTTATAAGCAACTTATATGCAATGTATCAAGAATATATAAAGCAACATAAGAAAAATCGTATTTTTCACGAGTTTCGACGGAACGATAAGAAATCTAGAGATTTTGTCATCTTTCAGTGTCTGTCGCTTGTCTCTACCACAACCGATCTCGATGAAATTTTCATCATGATTTAAACAATTTCTTTCTTGTCGTTCCTCCCAATTGCTATTTCTGCGAACATATTTTTATTGTCTAGCAATTGTCTAGTAACATTGTCTGGTAAACCTCTCAAAGAAATTCAACTCGTTTGGTCCAATTTGAAAAAAGTTATTCCATTTCAGGTGTCCATACTCGTTGCAATCGATGCAAATGCAATGAAATTTACATCAAAATGGATAGTATGACACAATTAGATAAAAGAATTATTGACGGTATTGAGAAAATAGATGAGTAATAACTAAAGAGTAACTATAGGGTTAACAGGTCCAGGTGTCAGATTTACTGTTGTCTTATACTACTTGGACGGCCGCACACTGGATTGGTAAAACAATCTTCTTGCATTATTTACAAAGGATAAGGACTAAGCTCCACCCAGATAAATTCAAGTAAACTGAACTAGTATCACGGCCGCAACATTCTGGCATCTTCCAAGTGGATTTTCATATTCACTCAAAATGTTTCCGGTCCTTTCCTTAATAAGAAAGCCTTCCACGTTAAAGAGGAATAAGAGGAGGTTTTATCCAACCTGATACTACTGTAAGCACGCAGTTTACATAACATTGCAGAAGGGTACGGTACACCCGCAGGTTCCTTTAACACCTGATACAAAGACTAAAGCTATGTCATGCAGTTTTTGGACGGCTTACAAAATTAAATTACAAAGTTAAATTATCTTCGCATATAATAACGTTGGAAGCATAATTTTCTATGAAATCAAACGTCTACGAAATACAGATGTAGTTCAATTGGAAAATTAACGTAATACCGTAAACATGACAAATGTATGCAATAAATGCTTGCGTATACGTGGACAACGGATTTTTATGAAAAATAAAAATTGTTTGCATTAATTGTAATAAATGGTAGACGAATAGAAATTTTATTGTTATTATTACGTATATCATATTGTTGTGTCTATTTTCTCACGATAATATAACGATATTCTGAAATTCATTGAATCTTTCCACAGTTTTAAAAACCTATTCGTTTTGATCATAAATTCATAAAATCCACAGTCCATTAATATGCAATATCTTAAGAAATCAATTTCGAAAAGTCGTCGCTTCGACTTCGAAAGGGTTTCTTAAACAAAAGTTGCAGAGGGTAACTTTGCGTTGTTTATTAAATGTATTGTAGTTACGCGGTATAATCGCATTTCCTTAATAAAAAAATTAATTTCAATGTTAGCGAACATTGTAAAAAATTTTGCAACGGAAGTTACAATTGGACCGTTTATTTTGAAAGTGGTGCAAGTCCACTTTCTTTCGTTTCGAGAAAATTGAATGTTAGCAGATCTGACAATTAAAAAATATAGGTTAATTATGTAAAGTCTGGGAATGTTTGTACTAATTTATCAATATGTAATTTGATTATATAAATTTCTTTTAGGCGAATTTAACTAAAATAATATACAATTTCCAGGCTGCAAATGGACTTACACCACTTTCATAATTAGTCAATTGTAAATATCATTTAATTTCAATTTTGAAATAACAAATATCACTTTCTTTTTTTGCTGGAATGAATTTTCCTTTTTTTGTAAAGTACTCTTGTCCGACATTTCGCTTAATTTTGTTTATTCGTTGCGTATATTTTCCTTTATTTTCTTTTACAGAATCCAAGTTCTCAGTAACAATATCCTCATCCGATGAAAATTCTATCTCTATAATTCTTCTTCTCTTTTTACGCTTCATTAATTTATTTTTCATAGTAGAATTATCTTCATCCTCCGATTCTAAGATTATTCTTTTGTTTATATTCATGGGTCTTATTT